GGGGGGGGATTTGAAACAATTTGCGTTGCCTATGCTACCGCAGGCGCTCTACCGGTATACTTGTTTCAAATCAACCCCCCCCCCCCCCCCCGAAACACCCCATTCAAGGACCTCCAACATTTTTGTGACACCCTGTATAGTTGCAAATGGGATTATCAAGAATACATGTGCAACTAAATGTAAAAGGATTGATTGCGTTTGGTAAATTCCTTGTCGAGCTACACCAGAGCATAACAATTTTGCACCAACAATGGTTTTAAACAATGAAAGTGTACATAAATTTTTGCAAATGGGAACATCACGAATTCATCTATCAATGAAATGCGGAGGCTCCATCGCAATCGGTTATTTTCTTGCCGAGTTACATCAAAGGATGGGAGTTTTACAGTAATAATTGTTATAAAACTTAAAAAATTCATAAATTTTTTTAAATGGGAACATTATTAAATCATCTGACATTATATATGGAAGGTTCCATCGCGCTCGGTAATTTCCGCACCGAGTTATATAAAAAAATAGGACCTTTGCAATAACAAGAGTAATAAAAAAAAAGAAAAAATTTTCAATTGAGAAACAATTTACTTTCTTTCGAAATCGGTCAAAAAATTCAGAAACGTTGGTTGCAAATGGGATCATCGCAAAGAATTGTCCGGTAGCAAAATCTAAGGGAGTTTCATCGATGTCAGGCCGAACATACGTGAAATATTACTTTTTTGCGATAAAAATGATTTAAAGGGGTAAAAAATAAATCAAGGTCAAATGGTTTTTTATTGGACCAAGTGCCAGTGATACTCTTTCAGATGCAAGAAGTTTCAATCCGATTGGTCCATCGGTCTCGGAGTAAGAAGCAGTACAAAATTTTTTGATCTTTTGCACACAAAAAAACGGGTAAAAAACGAGAAATCCCAAAATGTCTTGATACCGGGGCCACCCCGAAGACAAGCTTTACAAGATGCAACAGGTTTCATCCCGATTGGTCAAGCCATCTCGGCATAAGAAAAAAAATACATGTCGAATTGAGTAACCTCCTCCTTTTCGAAGTCGGTTAAAGAAAGGTAATTTGATCCATTATAGAGAAGCCTATTGTAAAGGTTTACATTTACATATGTTTGAATTGTACATACAATTGTATACTATAATATCTTAAATTATATGCGATACAATTCAATGTCGAAATTAACAAATGATCAATTTGGTAAAAAAAGGGACTTTCGATAGAATAATTAAATAAGACATTATGTAAAGGTATACGCTTAGTTTTATACTAAAAAATCTATACATTCTCAATCATGGAGAAGATTCTGGAAAAGATGATTCGGGGAAGATGTATACAAGATACAATTGAAATGGTAGGGATACAACTAAAATCGGTGAATCGGTATAAGAGAAGAACGAATACTAAAGCAGCGTCAGTTTTTATTAGCTTTCTTTTAGGTAGCACGTGGGAGAGTACATCTCGTTTAGTGAATCTCATTCGTCGAGTACGGATCTATCGAGCACGTAAGTGTCTGTAATCTTCATCCTAATCTATGTACCTTCTATTTTTTTGATTCGCTTTATATGTTTTCCAAGAAACTCAATGTTCAATGATATTTAATTAATGTTATTCAACTGTTTGTAACGTTCTTGCGTGAACATGTAAATAATATTTTTCTTCAATTATTGACAGTAATTTTTGTTGGATGTACATCTCAATTGTGTCATTAATCATGTACTAAATAAAATATTCTTTAAATTTTGAAAACTTATTAACCGTTTATACGACAGTTTTTTAAATGTATATTATTTTATCATAGATTAGAATGTTTCAAAGGAAATTTGGAATTTTTTTTACTTTTCCCTAGTTTATTTACCTTCGTGTAATCTTAATGTGAACTTTTTGTAATTACTACTTTGTCAATCAATACAGTTCATCTTTGTATCTTTATGTGCGCTTTTGTTTGGAATTAGCATTCTTAAAAAAAAATTTGTATAATAAAATGAATTACTTATTTTAATCTCTCTTGAGGATTACCTAACGTGATATCTGATACAATTTTTAAACCTTTTACTTTTAAAATTAATTAGAATGTCTCTTACTCAGAATTCATTAAAATTAACTATTCGCTTTAGTTTTATGAATATTCAAAAGCTGAATGCAATATACCCAATTAAGCTAAATGGGCAAATGTAAATACAAACGTGATAATAATAAAAAATTGTTTGGACAGTAGAACAAATGAATACAAATTCCATCAATCTATCAACTTTGAGTGCAACATTTAAAAATTAATTGATATGATGAAATCGATCAATTTTTGACTGACGATTGATAAAGAACAGAATAAAAGTAATGTAATGTTTAACAAAATAGAAAAAAGATAGTATTTGTTAGAGATCGACTAAAAAATGAAAATAAAATCACAAAATTAATTTACAAAACTCGATACAACTACTTCTCGAAAGTCTTATTATAAATAGTAATTACTAATAACATGGACGAGAAAACAAGGGGGGCAGATGTTAAACGAGAGAAGGCGGCAAAGAGGCGGAGTGAAACATACTCGAGGTCGAGAAAGAATGACGTGGACTCCAAAATATCATTCTAGGAATTTAGGACATTAGAAAAGTAAAAAGCATGTATATGCGTACGTCTATATTCCCTTTCTCTTTCGATTATGATGATGCGGTCGGCCGCTATTTCTGGGTGATCGGTCTTTTTTTTCCATAAATTACAATGATTGCTTCTCATCGTTTCGCCCATCAGCCAATATTCTTGTACAAAACGCTTTCTTTAAATTTACAAATATTGTTCGTTGCACGGCTACCTTGGCTTATAAAGGGATTTCCAGAAGGGCCACTAGGATTTTTTTTTTAATAGAGTTTAGTTTAACACTTAAACATCATTTTATACCATTAAATTTAATCGTGTATACTTTCATTTAAAAGAAACAAATCTGATATATTACGCACTATTTGTTTAATTAAAATCAGAATCTTAAAACTTCTTTTAGAAAAGCCTTTATTTCAAATGTAGTATTTTCTGCTATCGGTAGAGTATTTCTTTAAAAAACAAATTCTGCAATATGAATAGTTAAAGCAAGTCAACCCCTTTAACGTTTTCAAATAGTAGGAACTAGTAAAACAGAATTCCGTTACGGTATTCGCAAGAATATGTTTAATAGAGTAATTTTTATTGAATTAGTAACAATTCTGTTTATTTGCTGTTACTTTACTGCACACTCTTTGTGCCTACGTTATAAAAATCTGGAACATTCAACAATAGCTTTATGAAAACACGTTTTGTATCACCCTGGGAATGAAAGATTTAAGATATAGTACTCAATTGAAATTAAAACAATGCATTGCACATAAGCAGTGTTACAAGTAACTTTGGATAAAACTGTAACAAGAACATTCTCTTAATTATTATCATCCTAGTGTAACAGATTGATGCCATTGTACTTATATCTCATGGATGATCCACCCACTGAAATTTATTTACTGGAATTTTTTCAAAATTATTAAATTATTAAAATTTTCTATTTAGTAGTAATGTGTTAAGTGCAATACGTAATTAATTTGCATTTAGGAAGTATACAATTTAATCATTGCTTATTCTGATACGGGGAAATTGCTTTTAATAAGCCAAATACGTGACCTGGAATAGGGAAATATCTCTCTAATATATTAATATATCATACCGCGAACATGAAAGTAGTTTCAGTGGAAACGGCATGTTTCTCTTTTTTAATAATCCATTAGTAACGAAAAATTAATTCCCGCAACCCGAATTTCATCTCTTCCTTCCAGGTCCATTCATTTTTTCATTCCAGAAATGATGTTCGAATAAAAGAATACTTTCTTCTCTGAAATTTGGTTTGATTGATTGATTCTTTTATTCTTTTTTATTCACTTTATTTAGTATCTACTTTAAAAAAATACAACTAAAAAAAAATTAAAATTGTTATTGTTTTTTCACAATAAAGTTCAAAAATAATAATACAGGAAGATATATACATATAGTATGTATCTATTTGTTTGTGTACATAATAAAGTTAAGTAAACTTTTCTTCTACCCAGATAGCACCGGACGTCCATTTTATGTCCAGTTTACGTCCAAACGTCCGGCCGGAACGTCCTGTGAACGTCCATGGGACCTAAATTCTGTACGTCCCAGGGATGTTCGCTCTGAACTTTCTAGATTTAGGGAAAAATACTTTTTTTAAACAAAATAAATATTATTTATTAATATTATTTATAATATAATATTTATTCAATATGTAGAACAAAATATTTTTTTCCGAATATAAAATACACTATTTACAATTGTAAATTATTATTATTATCCCAGATAGCACCGGACGTCTCATGGACGTACAGAGAACGTACAGAAAACGTTCTGGAAATGTCCAGCACCGGACGCCTCATGGACGTACAGAAAACGTTCTGGGAATGCCTAGCACCGGACGTTCCATGGACGTACATAAGACGTTCCTGTTCCTGTGCTATCTGGGTATACAATCATTATTTAATATTCCCAACAGAATATTTTTTTCCGTAGATAAAACACATATTTATCTAATATTCGCAACAGAATATATGTTTGAACATGTAAAACAAAATGTTTATTCAATATTAGGAATACAATATTTTTTGTACATATGAGATGTGATATGTATGTAATATTTGGAACTATTCAGAATTACCTAGTAAATTAATTCTTCTAACTTTTCAAAAAAAAGTTCAAGTCATATAGACCAATTTAAAAAGAAAGAATTGTATTTTAAAAAGTATCCGAATATTAATGCGAGTCATTATATAAGCCTAAAATATGAGTCGGTTTAGCAAATGCGTTTATGGGTAAGTGAGGAAGCAGGTTGTGTTGTAGTCCGAAAATCGTGAGTTCTCGAATCCCGCCGAAGGTAAATAAAAATTGAAAGATTTGTTCGGCATTTTTCATGGAATCCAGTTACAAGAAATAAATACAGTTAACTAAAATCTACCAACAAATAAATAAAAATATATAAAATTAAAATTTAATTTTGTTTCAAATCTCAATTTTACAGATAACGTTCTGGGAATGTCCACATCGGACGTCCCAGGGACGTCCTGCGGTTCCAGGAACGTTCACAGGACGTTCAGGGGACGTTTGGACGTTATGTGGACGTCCATAGGACGTTCAGGGAACGTTTGGACGTTATCTGGACGTCCATAGGACGTCCCGAACGTCCAGTACCGGACGTCTTATAGACGTACATAAGACGTCCTTGTGCTATCTGGGTATCTTCTTTAATAAAGAAAAAATTAAATAAAATTTTAAATCTTCTCATATTAGGTATTCCATACTCGCCATCAAACTTTTTTTCTTATTCAATTTTTTATTTTCAATTTATATTTATATATGTATATATATTTTTTTCTGTGAGTACTTTTGAGCAGATACTTTTTTTCTCTTCTCGGCATTAATATGTATTCAGTCATTACAATAATACGACCTTAAAGTGACGCAGAAGTCCAAAAATTGAGAATCGAAGTTCACACTAGTGCTTCATAATAAATATTCAAACTGACGTCCTTCAGCAACAATATATTTTTACCAAATAACCGACCGCAGAGAGGAAGCTGTAAATATTGACGATTTTATCGAGCTCATTCCTTGGACAGTATAAGTCATACTACAATTTATTTAAATACATAATGAATATACTTCCTCTCGAGTTTTATTTGATAACATACACAGCTTGAAGATCTTTACATATATTTTTATTTTACATCTAAAAACTAGAATATCGAATAATAATTTAATTAAATAAATTTAAATGAGCAATTTTAAAATTTTAAAATTCGAAATTTTTCTATCTTTTTCTTTAAATAAATTTAGAAATAAATACCACTCATGTCGGATATTTTTTATGGATGTAATATATTAATAATGAAAAAAGTATAAAAGGTAATAAAATAGAGGAAAAAGATGTTTAAATAATGCGAGGAATTCGGAGTGCCTTTCAAGTGCAGGCTTTATATAAGACGATGAAAAAAGCTGTGCCATCAACGGAGTTTTATGTTTTGCAAAGTCCGTAATTGCGTCATTAATCTTTCAATAAAGCATCGTCGAATGAAATGGAAATTATTCTTTTAGCTTTCTCTTCCGCCTGTTATTAAATAACTTCTAGAGTGAGCGTTCAAAATAAGCGTACCCTTCTTCGGCAATATGACAACTTTCGTTCTGTTCAAGAGATGACTTCCGATAACATGTTTCACATAACGTTATCGAATGCTCTATGCAAATAGAACCCTTCCTTTGAACAGTTGCACATCAAATTTTTAAACAAATATATTGATTTTATAGTTATGTATATTATTAAATAAAACTTGAGAAAAAATATATTTAGCATTTTTTTTAAATTTATTATAGTATAAGAAATGGGTTCAATAAAATTGTCATGTTGCATTACAACTTGGGATTTGTGTTAGGTATTACTTATCAAAAATTGTTGCTTGTTTATATCGATACTAATGCTATCAATCTGTATTATTTGATTGTAAATTCGACAAGCCTTCAAGGATTACAACGGCTAATAAGAAATACTGAAGAAACTACTTGATAATCAGTATAATATTTTTATATGTATCTGTATAGTATATTTTTCAGATGCCTGCAGTGAAGGTTTAACAAAAATGCTTGTCAGAGTATTAATACTAATTACTGCAATTATCTCAGCAAATGGGTTTCCCTCGCCGAATCCAGCTGAATATGATCAAATAGGTCTGTATTCTTTGGTAGTTTAATGAACATTCAACATTTTGATATTTATGTAATCAAATACATACACTGTAAAACAATGCGTATAATTCAGAGAGGCTTTCTATATTTTTTTATAATTTTACTAGAATTCTTCGTTTAATCATAGACAATAAGAATTAACTCTAGAAATCCAATATTTTCGCTTAATGAAACCATAAAATTTGAGTCTTGGATTACTATTAATTGTTCCTTTTTCTTTGTGTGAATAGTGCTTCAAAATCCTATGCAACAAGAATTCGATCAGCAATTGGTATTTCAAAATCCTACGCAAGAAGAGTTCATTCAACAATCAACCAATGAAGATTATTTTGATTTTGATAATACGAAATCGACGTCATTTTCGGAACAAACTGGAGACTTCACTATCTCCTGTATAGGAGAAAATCGAATCTGTACTAAGAAGAATAATTGTGCGAATGGTTACATTCTTATCACAGAAGATATTCCTCTTCCATCGAGCAAGGTAAACAATTCTCAAGTTCTAGTTTTGAATTGTGTCATAAACAAGTGTAAGACTTAAAAAAATTCAAATAGATTCAGATAAAATTTGGTTCATTCATACATATTAGGCCAATCCACAAGTTCATGTCACTTATTGTTTTGCTATTCAAATTAATATGTGAAATATATCTTTAAATGTTATGAATAAATGTAACTACCCTCTCTTTCTACAATCTTTTACTATCTTTCTGGCAAAGTCGTTATACCGTTATTACGAAATGTCTGTAATTTTATATTGAATATAAACGGAATCTGCAGCACTGCAGAACTTATAAGGATGATCTAATATTTATTATGCATAGTAGTGACCATAGAATCACCACCACTTTAAAAAAAACAGTCTATTTGATTTAACCCATTGGAGTTTAGACTTTCCGACTTCAGTAGGATATAGGACCACAAAGGATTAATCCTTTTAAGAGTACCATTTCTGAACATTAAGAGTTTAATTTGCAAATTATTATTTCAATTGTGATTTAAAACAGGAATGCAGAATTCGAGACGAAGTTTGCTGCACGGTAGTGCAAGAATTTCGAGAGACATCGCCAAAAATCGAACCATTCGTATCAGATTTGGGAAGCAATAGCGATAACAAAGGCTTTAAACTGAAACGACCACTCACAATAAACGATCAAATTCCAGAAAACTTTGCCAGCAGATCAGCGAATTCAGGAACTCAAGAAATTGTTGGGCAAAATCCTGGTCAAACTCCTACAAGTAAAACAATTTCGTGTTTTGTTCCTTAATGTTTCATTTATGGGTATTTTCAAATTTTGTATTAATTTAATATGCAATTTTGTGTGAAACTACGCGATCTTCAGGGTTTTTCATTGCTCTGTTTATCTTTTTCTTTCTGAAATAAGAAACAGAATCACTATTTTACCATGATTCACGTTTGTATTGTTAGGTCGATCTCACAGTATTTTTTTAAATAAAGACATTGACACCTACAGACTTTCTTGCAAACGCAACCCACGTACAGTTTGGTTGCGCGGCAGCTCTCCTTTGTGTCGAAGAACAATATTGCACCGCAGGTGGTACAATCAGTACAGAGCCTGTCTCTCTGGAAAAGACAACAATTCAACAACGCGTACCTCTAAGTGTAAGTGGACAAAAATTGCTATCGTTGACTTAGATTGAAAATGTTCAAATGAAGAAATAAGCGTGACTCGACATAAGAGTTCAAAGAAATAGAACAGCGACAAAATGTTATAACAAAAATATACTAATGTGGTAATCTTACCGAATAATTATTTTCATATTACAGTCTTGCAAAAATCCTGACAATGGAATAATCGGCAAGTGTTGTCGAGATCCAAATTACGTAGATCCTTGGCCAACAGAAAATCTTCCTAAAAATTATTCTGGTGGATTCGATGAACAAGGTTTTCCAACGTTTTTGAACATTGCAAAAGTAAGGCCACCTAAACAACCTGTACAACCAATTAACACTGTCAAATCAGGTCTCACTGTCAGACCTGGTTTGGAATCGTACAATTCTGTACCAGCTGAAGAAAAAGTGGAACCTGCATTAGTACCAGATAACTCGGTTATTTCTGTAGAAGTTTTAGTTCCTCCAATTGAAACCGTTTCGGAGCAAAAGAATGATGTGAAGGTGGGAGGATTGAACATGGAATGTGGCGTTAGAAATACAGTAAGTAGGAATGTTCTGTAGCCAATCAAAGAAGAGCATTCACTAACTAGTAGCTCTTAAAAAGAAACAATTTCAGAAGTACTGATATGTAGGAAAGAAAGTTATTAACCCTGTTAGAAATTATTTGAACTGAAATATAAAATTAGTTAAACAAACTAATTATTCTAACTAAAATTTTTTAATTTGATATTGCAGAAGCCAGGAATAAGAAAGTCACAGACTGTTTTCGCTGAAATTCCATGGCAAGCAATGGTTTTGCATTCGAAAGAAAAGAAAATTCTCTGCTCTGGTGCTCTTATCAGCACACAAGACATACTAACAGCGGCCAATTGCATCGACAGGTAAATTGAGATTCGACAAAATAATACAAGCAAGGATTCTCCCCTCTCGAGTTAGAAGAGTTAACATGTAGTGGTAACAAATTAAATAAGTCATAAGGAATTATTCGATTCGTTGAAAGTACATAGACTTATGCCTGCTTTACGTAATCGCTATTATTTAAATTACAATTTGTATAAGCAGTATTATGTTAATTATGACTTCATTCAATGTAGTGACACAGTTAACTCGAACATTTTCTGTTTAATCAAGCCTGGGGCCAAACGATATTTCAATTAAATTAGGCGAATGGAAATTAGGCTATGAGTTGAAACACGAGGAACCCCTTCCTTATGAAATCCTCAATGTGTCGTCTATCAGAACGCATTCTGGTTACGCAAGGGGATACACAGATCACGATCTTGCGATTTTACATCTAAAAAATCCTGCGACTATCGATCTACACGTAAATCCTCTGTGTTTACCTACAACAAAGCAGCTGCAAATGAATAAGTGTATTGCTACCGGTTGGGGAAAATCGATACTTCAAGGTAATTAATTCTCTTTACTTCGATATATCTGAAACAAAATTGTTCTTTTGCCCTCTCTGACCTCAATGAGAATAATTCCAAAAAGTGGAGAGGATAACCATGCATCTCTTAGACAGGATTCATTGTGTACAAGTACATATTTAGAATAATGAATTTCATCATAAATATATTCAAGAGAAATATAATTATTTTGTATTGAATCGCTAACTGATGATTTTATTCACTGTGTATATCTGCTTTCGAGACTAATTAATATAGTTAGAGCTATTGGATAATATGAAATTGGAATCTGACATTTTGTTGATTTTTAGATGATCAAACTCCTTTTGAATTTTATGGGTTACCAATCAATGAAAATTAAAGTAAAAAAAATTTCAAAACTACTTTGTTTATGAGAAAACACACTTTAAGCTCTCTGCTAATTACGTCATGGATATTAAATAAAATTCCACTCATCGGTTAGCAATTCTATGCTGCAACAATAGTCAATAAATAAGTAAAGTGACTAATTGTGCAAAAATTATATTTTCTCAGCGCATTATGCTGGAGCAATTATGCATGCAGTGGATTTGGATATACTTTCAACAGAACAATGCCAAGAACAATTAATAAGTGGAGACCTAATTCCAAGTATAGCAAATGGAATTATTTGTGGTACACCTAGAGAAAACATTAATAATGTCTGTGAGGCAGATGTTGGCGGACCTCTTGCATGCAAAAATAGACATGGACTGTATGAGTTAGCTGGAATTTACAGTCAGGACACAGGATGTCTACCAACAAATCAAGTAAAACATTTCTGAGATAAAATATATTTTACCATTATTTATATCGTAATGCATTTTATTTATAACACAAGCTTTTTTTTAGATTGCAATTTTTGCACCATTAGATGACGAATGGTTGAAAGAAACCATGGCAAGCTCAATACATGAACAAAGTCTTTCAACATTAATAGAAAATAGTGGAACAAATAAGGGATACGAAGAGTTGCCATTCGAGAATGGCCATAGGAAAAGCACTCTATCTACAGATAATGAATATCTTCCTCCAAATTGAGGATCCATCATTTAATATATTTTCGTTGTTTATTTATTATAATTTGTTTATTAATGAAACAATTAAGAGGATTACTTCTTAACACGATTCTGTAGTAGAATCTTGTACCCCATTATAGGATTGAAAATACTACTAATGTAAAATGGGAATAGGTTCCAGAGAATATTAAAAAAAAAAAACTTTTTCACTTGTAACAAACGAAGAAATAATATTGAATAGTAATAAAAAGAAAAAAAAGAAAATGGAAGAAAAATAGATACAAGTCTCTTCAAGTAATTTGTTTGTAATTACATTTGTATCATGCTATACCCCTAAGTCCTATTCATTGAGCTCTATCCTAACTGGAGTGCGAACTGTGAGATAGAAGTCGGTCCGAGTGAGATGCAAGATAAAAGTGGTTCCGGTGGTATTATCCTATAGCAAATTTATGTGTGAAGGGAGAACAGACTCCTCTTCACGTGACCTCTCCGATTCGGCAGGTCGGTATTACAGCAGTTACTCTCCACATAGAAATGGTATTACCATTAGATATGCGGCAGCGGAGGAAAATTAGATGGAGTTGCTTGTTATTGCCATACAGTATAGTTTGTTCTCAACAACATATACTATATACTTCTTCCTTGAGGGATTCTGAATGCTCAGCGTAGTAAGTAGTAGTATTCTGTTCCGCGCTCGTATTACGTTTGTGTAGTACGGTCACACTTCACCATCGCGCGTGCATATACAAATAGGAGCTAGGTTGGGGGACGTGAGTTGCTCTGCGCTATCGAGAATTTGGAAAACTTTAACAATTTTTTAGGCGATAACGGTTCGTCTCCGGCATGTGGCTCCTTTGAAGCTTTTTAACTACTCCTCGAGTAGAATTTTTTAAAATTAAAAAAAACTTTGACCTTAAATTTCGAGGTTATAATGGATTTTGCGGACGGTTTTTTTTGCAAATGTCCACTGATCCAGATGTGTACAATAACCCCTGAAAGTGGTGACCAATAATTTTTATACACCCTGTACACCCTGATTTCATTTATAAAAATAAAGAAGTTTAATACAAATTACTTTTTGAGTTGATACTAATTGATTATAAAAACTGATACTACATATCCTGAAAAATCCATTATTAATGTTTTCTATGTCCCATAAATATTTTAAAAGAAACGTTAAAAAATATTCGGATAATGTGAAATTTATGTTTAGAAGATGCGTATTGAATATTCGGGCAATGTTGAATAAATCTTGAAAATTAAGAGATTCAAAAAAAAATTAAATCAAATTTTATATTGTGTTTCATTTATTCGTAGATTTTACTTTTATTACTTTATTTCTTGTGATTGGATTTAATTAAAACAAGTTATTTTAATTTTTTTTACCTCGGTGGGAATTTGAATATCAGATTAATATATATTTTATATTCGGGAAAAAATATATTGTTGCGAATATTAAATAAATATGTATTTTATATTCGGGAAATAATATTTTGTTGCCAAAATCAAATGAATATCTATTTTATATTCGTGAAAAAATATTTTGGTATGAATATCAACTAAATATGTATTTTATATTTGGGAAAAATATTCCATTCTAAATATTGAATAGATATTCATTTTATACTTAAAAAAAAATATTTTTTTCTAAATCTAGAATAAACATCATACGTATATTTAAATATTAAAATGAGATTCAATCTCTTTTATTGGATGAATATGTATTCAATATTTTGTGCTACTAGGGTATGTGAACCTGACACCCAAATGCCAAAAAATGAACTTTTTTTTATGGAAAATGATAGTGTTTCGTTTCGATTTTAGTATTAGGTTGTTACAATTTCTTTTCATTTATCAATTGATGAAACTACAAAAGAAATATTATCTTTTCCGTAAAAAAAGTTAATTTTTTAAGTCAGGTGCCACTGAGGAAATGGATATTCACATAGCTTACAAGGAGACATCGCCTAGTGTCCCCTGAATTATTTAATCAAATTTTTTTCAAATGTAAAGAAGGGTATGTAGGACAATCTCTGCAAGTGAGAAGGCGCGGCTCTCTTTCGTTTTCGATAAATAAATTTTTAAAAATAGCTAAATTTCGATCGACGAGTGTCAACCGTATAAGAGTCGGGGGTATTATGGAAGCAGCGTGACAGTCAATAGAATGCTATATTGCGAAGGCGATCTTTTGCGGTGGAAGCGGTTCGATCCTGGTAGAAGTCACTTATTTTTTTTTTACTTTTCCTTCCGTTTGTACCATGTTTTGTTATGGAAACTACATTTTTATATATGTAGGATTTATTATATGTTACTATGTTTATAAAATACTGACTTAACTATTAACGAAACTAAAATGAATAGAGTCCGCTCAACGATCCGCTCTACGTCTATTCGCGCCGTCTTTACCCTTCGACTGCTCAACTAAATCTGTCCTTCGACGCTTCTTTCTCTACCTCCCCTTAAAGTTAAACACCACCCAGGGTTTTTCCCAGGCAGGGAAATATCAGCCCAAGTGGCCAGGTCATAAATTAAACTAAACTAAAGCTACGTTACAATATCCTTATACCTATCCTATAGCTAACGCTCTCTCTCTTTCTCTCTCACGCACACGCACACATTCCCACTCCTACATATATTAAGATTATTTTTATACAATATTGTGCAATTTTAATGTTTTTTATCGCATTGAAAAAGGAGTCAGAAAAAGGAGTCAGAAAAAAGAAGGAAGAAAAAGGAAGAAGAAAGAAGTTGGGGAATGTTTGTTTAATATAATTAAATTGTTATTTACAAACTATAATGACGTAAGTTTTTATAAAAGCTTGAAGAATCTCCTTTCACATCCTAACTTCTTTCTCGAAGCGATAAAAAGCATAAAAATTGCACAAAATTGTTTAAAAATAATCTTAATATATAAAAAGGTAGTTTCCATAACAAAACATCATACAAACGGAAGAAAAAGTAAAAAAAAAAAATAAGTGACTCCTACCGGGATCGAACCCCGTCCAACGCAAAGCTAGAGTTTCGAAGCGACGACGAAAGTAGAAAGAAACAGTTCGATGAAGAAGGAAGAGAGACTGAGAGTCGACGTTGGCAAATGTGAGGATACGGGATCGGGATGCTAAGCGCGATTTCGACCTCAGTGAAATGGCAACAGTGTAGAGAGACGCTGTTGTGAGAACGACAACACCGCAATTGTATCGACATCACGTTAGCAGTCGTCCTCAGTAAGCGCCATCTCCTATCGATTGTCTGAACTAAATTTGTGACGTCACTTGCTCTGCATTATCGTCAAAATGGCGGAACTCGTTTTTGGGAATGCAATGCTTTGCCTACAGATTTTGTCCTTATATGAGCATATTTTTGGCTCAATGAGGGCTCATTCCAAAGAGGAAGAGTCACAAGAGTCGTTCGAGTTACAAATGCTTTTAGTAACCTAAAAATACAACTATTCTGCGGATGTATTTTGCTCGATTTTTGCTCGACTTTGGACGCTCATATTATTAAATATCGACACAATATCGTTCAACCACGACCACAGCGCTATTCCGTGGACCTTTCTCTTTTGAATGAGCACCCATTGAGCCCAAAATATGCTCATATAAGGACAAAATCTGTGGGCAAACCTAACCCATATTTCGGGCCAGATTTTGTCGGCTTACAGAGCGCTGCATTGCCCGTGTCTATCCCCTTAAACACCGACGATACGACTGTTTTGCCGAAATCAGATGCAGATATGCGCAACTATTCTTTAATAAGCAAACCAATTATACTTAATTACACGGTCGACGAACACGATGCAATATACTTAGGCACAAAAGAAATCCCTAAAAAACTAAATGATGTAAATATGTTCAGAGATTACGGAACCACGCTTGACAATATCGACTCGGTAATAGATCAGATAAAATCGAATAGAAAAATCAAAAATTGGAAGGAAACAGGCTTTAATATATTAACTTTTGCGCGATACGGAGCGCTAACTCTCATTGTTGCATGGCTTTTAAATAAATGTGGACTACTTTCAATAATACGCAGATGTGTTCCAAAAACTCTCAGAATATGTATTAATTGTCCAAAAATGCGTGTAAAAAAAAACAAAAAAAAAAACAGGGTACAATTTTCAGGAGAAAATTTGAATCTAAACGGGGGGATGTGAAACCACCTTTATGCCCCACCACTAGCGCCGCACGTAACGGTTCCCACTTTTAGACGAAAAGACGAAAAGACAGTTCAGTTGCCACCGAATAAAGCGGTTATAATAAACGAACCAACGCCTAAGTTTTTCGTGTTAATTTGAAATTGCCTTTCCTGCCTCCTGTGACAATCGAGTCCGTCACACACATAACAATAAACATCGTTTGATCACAGTTTTATATATGTGACGTAGTATGAAGTATAAGTATTATATTTTCAATCATTTTTAAGAAAATAACCAATATAGGTTCTGCGAACGAAAGGATATCTCCGTGATGCACGACAAGTGTCAGGCAGATCTATTACAGAACAAGTGGATCGTGTAGCTGATATAACGTCGCTGTAAACAATTTTTTACAAAGGTCAACGAAAGACTTAAAGACTGATTTTAGTCTCGCCGTGTTTGATAACTATCATAATTATTGCGATTACGGTCTCAAGAAACCATACTGTGTGGAGTTTCTAGTGTCGCTCCAGTGTATACAAAGCCTTGGTACCAACCAGCATAAAGAATAAAAAAAGTTAACCAAAAACCAATTTTTTAAAATTCTTTTGCAATAAAATTAGACCGTTTATAACGTTTTATAAATTTATTTTGAGATAGAGCTTTCTCGCAATGCGAACAATAGGGCGTCATCGCATACACAACGATATAACGTTGTTGACACTTTTAGCTAGTGTAGCGAACGACGATATATCATCGTCCGGCACTAAACGGGTTAAAAACTAAACAGTCTATGCTGTGTCTTATAATCTAAAGCTAAATAGTTCCTCGACGGCGTACCGCGACGCCGAAACCACTCGACATGGTGTCGTTATCGACGACGGACTTTCGACACCACAATATCAACACTTTAACAACGACTCACACAACATGTGTATGATGTTACCGTTACTGCGTGTAGTGCGGCCGGTAAAATGTTAAACAATATCGCAACTCCTTACCAGTTTATCCGAGTCTATAGATGTCCCCATATGTAAGAAAAATTAAATTCAAACGATGACAAAAAATCTTAATTAACATTAAAAAATTACAGTTCCCAGGATTATAAACACTTTTTAAACGTAATATGGAAACAATGA